GGGGGGGGGGGGGGGGGGGGGGGGGGGGGGGGGGGCACAGGTGAGGATAGTGGCCAAGACAGTGATGCCTGTTTCCTGTCGGCCAGGTGAGTACAGATATTCAAAGTCGTAGTAAACCCTTGTGTTGCTGTTTATCGAGAGTGGTGCAGAATTGTCCGGTGTAGGGTTCTCGACGCTTTGCTTGTCCTCCTGTTGAGCTTACTACGCCCCACTCGCTGGTGCTGTCTGTAGATTTAATACTTAGGGAAACTAATGCTCGGAGAAGGAGTTAATGGAGTTCACCAGAGTTCTTCTACCGACATTCAGATCCTTTTCTACAATATTTAACCTTTGCCTTGTATTGAGCAGCTTCCCTGGGCTGCCTTGTTTGTGCGGCTCACACTGCTGCTTTGCTATGCAAATGGACTTATTTGGAATATTTTATGATTTAAAAAATTACAAATTATCCAGGTGTTATGTGCCTTTCATCCAAGCCCTCAGGGAGGTAGAGGCAGGCAGATCTCTGAGTTCAAGGCCAGCCTGGTCTACCTAGTGAGTTCTAGGACAGCCAGGGCTACCCAGAGAAACCCTGTCTCAGAAAAAAAAAAGTGAATTTAAAAAAATAGAAATAGCTTATGATGGGAATTCAAAGTTTGTGATGGGAGAATAATTTAAAAACACACACATCATCAGTTAAAAGAAAAACGGAATCCCATGGTGTTTGGAAAGGAATTCAAAAGGGATGCTTCCGACTTATATTTCCCGGCTGGGTTTTGTTAACCAGTTCTCCCCTCCCCTTCTAATATCTTAATTTCTGCCTGGGCAAAGCCTCTTAACCTCAATAATGTTTTTCAAAGTTAACTGTTGAGAAAAGTAAAGGATTAAAATGAATGGTGCAACATTGTATTCTGCCATCTTTCAGTAGTGTGTGAATATATGTATCCTCCTCTTCCTCGTTTCCCCGTTTGGACCGGACCCTCTTTCCATGACTAATGGTGTGATATATATATTGAGAGAACGGGAAGCGAATCTAATTTATCTCTGGCGGAATTTCATCGTCACAGAGAACCGCCTCAGAAACAATTTTTGTAAGACCATGATTAAAATGACATGTTTCAGATGTTTCTTCTAAGGCTGGAGTAAGTTTTCCCACTGAATTGCACTGTGACACACTGGGCGTTTCGATTACCAGAAAGTCCCTAAGTATTTCTATAGGAATGCTAAACCTTCACAGAACTTGGCTGCAATAAAATGTAGCGCACACACGGAATGTAATTCCGTCTTTGTTGCTGATAGGATCTTGGGAGTTGACGTATTTCCCCATCAGTCAGTCGTATGCTAGGCATTGCTGGAGCACTCTCTGATAGAGATGTCTGCTTATTGTCGTGCAACATAAATTTATTCAAGAACTTATTTTCTCTCTCTCTCTCTCCCTCCCTCCCTCTCTCTCTCTCTGTCTCTCTCTCTCTCTGTATTTCTGGGACTGGAACTCCGGGCTTTATGCACGCTAGGCAAACACTCTACTCTATCCCATGACTTATTTATATTCCTGGCCAAAATACATTTAGTTGTAGCTCTGTTAAGAATTCTTTCTTTCTTTCTTTCTTTTTTCCTTCCTTCCTTCCTTCCTTCCTTTCTCCCTCCCTCCCTCCCTCCCCCCTCCCTCCCTTCCTTTCTTTCTTTGTTTCTTTCTTTCACCTTTCTCTCTCTCTCTCCTTCCCTCCTCCTCTTTTTCTTCCTTCCTGCCTGCCTGCCTGCCTGCCTTCCTTCTCTTCCTCTCTCCCCTTCTTCTCACTCCTCTTTCCCTGTGTTCTTCCCTCCTTCCCCTCCTTTCTTTTGACCCGTGTTGTGTGGTGGTTTGAATGAGAAAGTCCCGCACCTCCAACCCCAGGCCTATATGTTTGAGTGCTTGGTCCCCAGTTGGTAAAAGTGTCCTGGAAGGACTTGGAGGTGTGGCTTTTGTTGGAGGTGTGTCACTGGAGGGGGGGTGCTAACCTTCATTGCTTCCCTCTTCACAGCCTTGGTCTAGGACTCCGATCTCTGTCTCTGACGTTTTCCCATCCTGACCCTTCTTTGCCTCCATGACTGACCTTTCTTCACCCTGTTTTTAGGACTCTTGTGATTGCATTAGCTATGTCTGGAAAATCTCTCATCTCAAGGTCTTTTATCCATCTGCAAGATTATTTTTGCCTTGTCACTGCAGGTATTGCAGCCCACGGGCAATAAAGATCACCTCTGGGTACCGTTCGTCTGTCTGGTACAGATTGCGGTGTAATAAACGTGTCGCATCCGGGGAAGCAGTCCTATGCATCCTCAAGTGTCGCGGTGGTCAAGAGTCCGCGCCCATTTGTGCAGCTCTTCGGTCCTGCATTCTTAGAACTCTGCCTGCCCCCAGCCTTAGTCATTCACTCTTCCCAGTGGGTCCTCTGAGTTAGCAGTCAAAAGTCCGTGTCAAGCCCAGAGTCTCTCTCGGCTACTCCTCTCGCGCCACGTCTGCCTGCGTGCAGCCGTGCTCCGCTCCGCGGTGATAATGCACTAACCTTTGAAGCGTCAAGCAAGCCACCAGTGAAGTGCTTTCTTTTCTGAGAGCAGCCTTGTTGTTGTGTCTCTTCCCAGCAATACAGCAGTGACGAAGACAGTGGTGTATAAATTCTGTGTATCTGCAGGGGAGACGCCTTTGGATACCAGTTCAGTCAGCACATTCTGTCTTTGAATTGCTTCAGAACATGGCATGGTTTGACATCATACGTTTATTTGTCTACTTTCCACGTCAGTCTTCTCCAGTGGTGTTTGCTCTGTAAGGGCAGGAACGTGATTATCATGTTTACTTCAGTTATAGTGTGCTGATAGATATTTATTGAAGATAAGAGTGTGTGTCACATGAAACAGGATATATCCTAGAAGTAAGGCCAAATGGAGCAGGGGACCTTTGTTTAAAATACCAATTTACAGGCAGAGGACATAGCTCAAGAGAGTGCAAATACGTTCTCTGCAAGGATAAGGTGGGCTTGCTCGTGCATGCCCATCACCCCAGTATGTTCCGTGGGGTGGAGATGGGTACACCCTCAGAGCTCACTGGCCAGCATCCCTGGAATGGAGAGCGTCCAGTTCAGTGAGAGAGAGAGAGAGAGTAGACTTTTGATCATCTGCTCTGGCCTCCGCATGTGTGTGGGGGTCTGTACCCCATCTACTCCTGTGCACACATGGGCATTGCACACATGCAGACCACACACTTATGAAGACTTATTTTAGCAAAGAGAATCCTAAGTTGTATATTCTGACTTCGGGTTTTGATGTGGCTGTATTAAACCTTATATTTTCATTATAGCCATACATTTGTTAGCAAATTAGCCTTCTAAGTTATATTTGATGGTGGTTGAGTTCTATTAGTCTTGTCTTATCTTTTTTAATTTTATTAAGTGAACTGTAATTATGTGTCATTATAGATTTAATGTGAGTCATTTGTTAAGTACTCCTGTGCCAGGTGCTATCTCATTTTATTTTTCTAACAGCCATCGGACAGGGATTGTGATACTCTGATTGTCTGAGAAACTTTTAGGTTTCAAGAAGTTAGCTATATCACGATCTTATAGCTGATTTGTGTTGGAACTGGAATTGAATCCAGATGAATCCAATACTCTGTACTACCATAGTGCTATTTTGATGATGAGTATATTAGTATATACTTTAAAAATATATAAAAAGCATTTGGTATATATGTGGCATTTCTATTTTCTCTGCTAAGTTTCTAAGAAATATTTAGCTAAGAATTTTAAAGCTGAAAAAATTAAATTTCTGTATATATCAGGAGTACTATATTCTTCAACTATTATTTTAGAAAAAGACATGAAGACGGTGGAGCATTTTTGACATGCATTGCAGGCACACAGACTCGTAGGAAAATGCCTCTCCTTTGCCTGCTCTCCCAGCTTGGCACGTGGTCCTCTCCTTGCGGCTTATATGTACTGGCAGTCATCTGGTGGCCCAGAGCAGAACGGGCATGTGGGCCAGTAGCAGTCCCCTTCCCCCCAGAGAGTCTTACCTTATTTGTTTGTCGTTTCTCTGCTTTCCCTGTGGACGCCAGATTTCTGTTAGGATTGTGTCAAGGGCTTTAAGTCCTTCCCATCAGTTTTACAGTGTGGGGGAGGAATGGGGTGTATTGTGGTTCAGCGCCTGCTGCCCTGGGAAGGAATTGTCCGCAAAATGGTTTTCTCTCCTATGATCTGGTCCAATTTATAGAAAAGCCTTCAGAAAACTAATTGCAAGAACCTCATTATTGCTTTTTGAGATGAGCAAGTTGGGCTCATTCCTGGCCAGGTTGCGTGTGGAAGATATACCTCGTTTCTAACATCTTCCCTGGAGCTTCAAAGCTTTCTGTTTGCTTGGGAAAGATTATCTTCCGGATTTGGGTGCAGTGTGGGCTTGGTCACCTGAGAGTTCTTGTTTTGTTTTTACTCAGTCTAAAGGCGAGGGGAACCCAACAATCACAAAGTCTTGTTAAGGCTGATAAAGAATTGAAGTCAGCTTCTCCAATAAGACAGGAAGAAAGAAAGAAAAGCCAAGTGAAGTATACCCCAGGAGTCAAGTGCACCCCCAGGAATGAAGTGTTGCTGGCTCGGATAGAGGCTGAGACTCAGGGAAGGATAGAAATAAGGAAGACAGGATAAAATGAGTAAAGGAAGTTGAGCTTCTGGTGCAGAGCAGGGCCTGGGGCTGACGAAGCAGCTACTCTTGGATATGAAACTGGCTTACAGGAGGAATACAAAGAGCTAGATTGTGTGTGTGTGTGTGTGTGTACATACATACATATAAATTAGTGATATTTTGTTTGTAATTTAACAAATAAGCTTGCCTGAAGATCAGAGTGCAGAGCTAAGTCACTAGAGGTCAGGCAGTGGAGGCACACTCCTTTAATCCCAGGATTTGGGTGTTAGAGGCAGATGGATCCTTGTCAGTTCAAGGCCACTCTGGGCTACTTGAGATTGAATCTGAAAGAGAAACAGAGCTCACACAAAGGTGATCTCAGCACTTGGCATCCCACACCTTTAATCCCAGCACTAGGGAGGTGGAGATAGGAGTGATAATGGCTGGGCAGAGAGAGGAATATAAGCTGGGAGGAGACAGAAGCTCAGTGCAGTCTGAGGTTTCGGAGGGATAGGTGCAGTCTGAGGAAGCCTTCTGAGGACAGGATGCCCTTCTTCTGAGCATCGGTAGAGGTAAGAACTCTCCAGTGGTTGGTTGCTCTGCTTTTCTGATCCGTCAGCTTTCACCCCCTGATGGCTGGCTCCAAGTTTTTATTATTAAGACCAATTAGATTCATGCTACATTCATACATACGCACATACATACACACAACTGGCTCTCTATATCCGAAATAAGGTGAGTACTCTTTAAGCACCTGGTTAACTGATTCAGTCTGGACAGTTTATAAACGTTTTCCCTAACTAAGTAGTGTACATACCAGCCTTTCAGAGCTGAGTGTCTATTACAACTTACTTGCTTACTATTTTGTTACAAATTAGTTCATTTATTTATTGTTGAGCCCAAGGCTTTGCACATGCTGGACTAGTGTTCTGGAAACATTTTAAGTGGTGATGCAGGTGGTTATGTTTCTGTCCTTAGAGAAGTGCTGTCTCTTGTACAAGAAGAACTTGAAAGCATGACTTTTGCTAAAAGTTCAAGTGACTATTGTACACAAATTCTCCTTTTCTTTCATAAAACTAATTTTGTTGAATCTTCCCTAAAAAGTGCAACTGCTGAGCATTCCCGGGAGGCCCCTTTGTGAACGTGCCACCCTGTTCTGGGCGTGCACGCGCCTTATAATTGCAGCTTTCTCTTGCTGGGGGTCGGCAGCGCCAACTGTTAGAGCTCTTGTCTGATTATGTGGAACCTCATTTTAATGGGCGCAGCTTCTTTGCTGCATTTTTACGAAGTGGTCTCGGAAGCTTCACACTGTGGACTTTTGTTGGGGACAAAGGGTTATTTATGCTAAAGGAGAATGTGTTCCCCCACGGAATTAGCTGGTGGGAAGCACAAGTAGCTCATTAGCAATGCGCACTTGTGCGTTGGCCTTTTGCTGTGGCGGAGAGAAGGAAAACAGATTCGAAAGGGCATTCTGTGGTCTCCTGCCTTCTGCAGAGACAATGCGGTAGAACATTAAGCCTTTCTGTTAGCTTTAGCCCAGGTTCCTCTTGTTCTTTAGAGAATGCCCTGCGTAGAGTTGGCGCTGTGCGCGAGAGGTCTGTGATGGAGCCCAGGGGAACAGGTAACTTTTCAGTCTTATAAATAGTTTCATAATTTTCTCCTAAAGCCTCTTAGTGATAGTTTCTAATAAAAATAGTGTGTTATCTGCCATAAACGAGCAACAGACCCATGTTTTATATCATCTATAACATTCTCTCTTTAAGCCTCTCACTTGTTCTCTCACTGACAGCACTTTCATGTATTGATCCAATTTAATTTATTGAAGTCGATCTTTCCTTTGTAGATTTCAAGACCAGAGCTTTGGCGCCAACTGCTGTTCCTCTTGTTTTTGACAAATCATCACAGAAAGGTATCAAGTATTTTTAATTCACAGCTGAAACAGATAGTTATCTTTACTGTCTTGTCTAGCAGGAAAGCTTCTGGCTCAGCATGTGATTTCTATACCAAGTCCATATGACTCATAGAGATATGACCGCTACAAAGAGATCAGAGATGCTTGCGTTTCAGTATCGGGTTTGAGGGCTTATATTGATGTCACCTTTGTATTATTAGATGGGAAAAAATTGTGGGAGGCTGTTGTGGGAAGAGCTGTTCTTGTCATGAAGTCTACCTCGCTGTCTAGTCACCTTAACAGTTGCTGTGACTCTAGTGCCAGGGGCAATGTAGCAAAAGTGTTCTCAGGTTTTTCTTCTGCAAGTAAGAAGGCAAAGAGGCCCTGGTGAGCTCCTCATGGTCGAGCTTTCTGGTAGATAAGAAGTCTCAGGTGGACTACGGCACATTCCTCATGCTATCATTTGGGGTCTGGGGGAGCTGGAACTCTGCCGTCATCTGCATGCTGATCCCTTCTCTTCCCAGAGTAACAGTTTCACGCAGTGGAGATACATGACCATGCAGCCTGCAATTCAGGTGAGCTCTCTGTTTGTAAGAAGTAAATATCGACTATGAATTGATATTATTGATTCAGTTCTTTTTATAGCATGAGTTTTTTGTTTTGTTTATTGGTTTTTGGAGACCGGGTTTCAGGGTTTCTCTGTGTAGCCCTGGCTGTCCTGGGACTCTCTCTGTAGACCAGGCTGACCTAGAACTTACAGAGATCTGCCTGCCTCTGCCTCCCGAGTGCTGGGATTAAAGGTGTGTGTGTGCCACCACTACTGCCTGACATGGCTTGAGTTTTTTAACACTACATTTTAACGATAGGAATACTGCATTTTGGCTTTCTAGTTCTAAGATTTTAATTCTGAGTTTTACTTGTGTTAGATATTTGAAAGAATCAAAAGTATTTTGTGGTTGGTGGGTCCAACCCCGAGAAAATAAATGCAGTATTTTATAATATCGCTCTCTTTACAACATGGTACATAAGACAGTTGAAGGAACAGTCCCTACAAGTCAAACAAGAGATTCAAGTCTTAGTTTATGTACTTGTCCATATGCTTTATAGATGAGCCTGTCCCTGACTCTGTATTGGAAATAAAATGTTTAATGAGTAGGCTTTTTGTTTTGTTTGTTTATGGCTGGGCGAAGCCAGCCGTGGGGAGTCACAGAATCCATGATAGTCTTACATTTAAGTGACTTCCAAAGTTTGTGTTTGCTGGGTTTTTTGTTTGTTTGTTTGTTTGCTTGCTTTTCTTTTGCTTTCTTTCTTTGGGTATTAATAGAACAATGAAACATTGATTTAAAGGCACAAGTCACCACGTACCTTTTTACCTAATAAGGTAGAGTCAGCCGGTAATCAAACACATTGGAAAGTCAGACCTTAAGAGAGTCAGTCGCAGCTAAGTTACGGTTGTCAGTCTCAGAGAGTCTGGAGAATTGTCTTGCCTCTGCTTCGGGAAGGTAAGGTGAGGATACAGTTCTCTCTCTGCAGGGCAGTTGTCAATCAGCAGGATAGCGCATGCGGACACCCTGCTAGGCCGCTTACTGACCAGTGGCCCTTCAGGGGTTTATTTCTTTGGTAATTCTTCCTCTAACATATGTTTCTATCTCGCCAGACGAGATTGGGAATGGGTTTTTATTTTTTTTTTTCCCTTTATAGTTTGCCTGCACAAGTTCAACTCAAAAAAAAAAATCCCAGTAGAGAGAAGGAGGGGGGTGCTCACAAAGACCCACAGACAGGCAGAAGGTGGGGCAGGGAAACTCACCTTCAGTGGAGTGATGCGGGTGTATGGACAGCTCTCCAGGGCAGGCCTCCCACTTGGTCAGCAAAAATCAGATGTCATGACTTTTCCTGCTGTGACTTTTTGATCTGTCCGTTGTCCCGAGTGCTGCTTTCTGTCCTAGCATCACAGGGTTCATTCTCCTCCCACGCCATATTTGTTCAGTAACTCTTGGTGTGTGGCCATCCCACGACCTCCTTCTCCCTGGTACAGACACAGCTCACTTGGCTCTGCAGCTCTCTGACGGGCTGACCTGCTTCGCCTCCCTGGAGCCCCCCCCCCCCATCCAGTTCAGACTGCTTGAGTAGGGTTAGCCTTCCGCGTCCATAGCCTCCCTCACCTCACTCTGGAGCTAATGCTCCCTCTCTTGAGGAAGAGAACGAGAACCGGGTCTGCTCTTAAAGTGCCTTCGTGATTGCTTCTTTCATAATTTGTGCAATTAGGTCTTTTCTATAAATAGTCTGAAAGCAAATCTGTTTATATTTCCTAGTGTTGGTTTGATAGTGTGTCTGTATAATTTTATTCTTATTTAGGCTCTGCAGGTCAAGTAGGCAAAACTGAGACTGTTAGATGGGTACTTGGGTGCTTGTATAGCAACCATTTTAAAATGTTTGAGTTGTAGGTCATAAAAAATGCAGATGATAAATCAGATTTGCTTAGACTGTAGTTTGCCATTCTATTGCTTTGATCAAAGTATTTAGAAAAAAAATGTAAAGATGGCATTGTAGGGGATGGAGTGATGTCTCAATAGTGAGAGCGCATGTGCTCCTGCAGAGGAACCCATATCAGGTGGCTTACAACCACCTGTGACTGCAACTCTAAAGGATTTGACGCCCTCTCCTGGCCCCCATGGGCACCTGTGCTAATATACATAAACCCACAGACACATACAATTAAAAATAATCAAATATTTAAAGCATCACAATTACGAAGTTTGCAGACGCCTTTTATGCGTTCATCCATTTATCCGTTCAGCAGACAGTCGTTGAGTCTTTGCTGTCTGTCAGGGCCAGAGCTGGATGGACAGACCTGTTCCTTTTGAGGCAGGTGTTGTTCACCCCTTCTAGAGTGATGCTGTGGGGATCCTGGCTTAACAAGTGGAGAAGGAAGTACTGTTTGTTGAGCTGTTTTCCCCTTGACTCGACGGCAGAGTCCACTCATTCATTCAGTGTCCGTTGACATTGACCACTGTACTAAATATTGAGAACATTCCACAGAATCCAGTTTGCTTCTCATTTATCCACTTCTACGAGATGGGGCAGTTTTGCTTACGCCTACTGATTTAAACACGGACACAGGTGGGCTACAGTGACTTTCGGCAAAGATTGCCGTCTTTCAGCTCTCTGGCCTTTTGTCTAGGTCTGGTTTGGGGAGGACCTACCTCTGAGTCCCAGGTGTCCCCTGACTCCCAGACATGGACCAGGACTGGCTGATGTTTGCCAGTATGACGAGTGGGTAGCCGTGAGGCACGAAGCCAGTCTGCTGCCCATGAAAGAAGATCTCTCCATTTGGCTGTCTGGCCTACTAGGTAAGGCTTACGAAGTTTGACTTGTAACACTGATTTTTTTTAAATTTTATCTTCATTTAAGGAGTGATTGGTTATTCCAGATGCCAGGGATATGCCAGTGAATGGCAGAGCCAGGGCCTGTTTGCACAGTCTACGTAGTTAGAAAGATACTCTCGTCCTCAACCTGAATGGTAGGAAACTTGAGATTTGACTGAAGTGGCCAGCCTTTTGGAATAACCAGTACTTTATGGTTAATTTTAATCTATTTCCAAAAATTGTGTATGTCGAGTATTGATTTTTTTTTAACTGATTTCCCCAAGCTTCTGTGAGCTCTAAGGTTGTAAGTGGAAGATATGCTTTAGATTTATATGAAAATGAATACTGTTTCTGAGACACTGGGGGGCAAGGGGAAAGTGTCAGCTGGAGAATTCTTGGCATTACAGTTTTTACTCTATTCAAGATTATGATGCATGCTCTGAGCTTTCTTTCCGGAGTATTGGGTTGGGGCTTTTGTGTTCGTGTGTGCGTGTGTGTGCTTAGCTAGTCACGAGCTCCAGGGATCTTCCTGACTCTGCCACAGGCACACCAACACATCTACCTTTCACGTAGGTCTTGGAACCCAAGCTCAGGAGCTCACTCTTTACCCAGGGAGCTTGCCCCTGAGTTCCTCAGATCACTGAGCTACAGACGCTCATGGGCGGGAAAAGCCTGAGATGGACCGCGGTCCTCCGAAGATAAACACACACAGCAGTCATTCTTTGTCGAGCATCAGCTTGAGGACTGGGAAGACTTCAAGTTCTTAATGTAATACTGTCTTTAAAGATGTCATTTTAGAGGTGGAAGCTGATATTCCCAGACTAGTTATTCTGGTGCTGTATTTGACCTTTAAATTGAGCAAAGTCCATCTTATTGGTAAAGAACCTTTTCTCCCCCTTGTACAAGCGATATTGATGTGCAGTGAATTGATCTGACATAAATGCACTTTTTTTTTTTTTTTTTTGGTTTTTCGAGACAGGGTTTCTCTGTAGTTTTGGAGTCTGTCCTGGAACTAGCTCTTGTAGACCAGGCTGGCCTCGAATTCACAGAGATCTGCCTGCCTCTGCCTCCTGAATGCTGGGATTAAAGGCGTGCACCTCCACCGCCTGGCTGCACATGTATTTTTATTAACTTTACAAACCACTGATTTTTTTTGTGTGTGTTCAATTTACCTTGACATTATTTGTTCTAACATTACCTTCTAAGGGTGGAAACTTCTAGTCTCATCTGGTATTTGTTTAGTTTTCTAGCTGTTATCTGATTATATTTAGGTTGTAGCCACTGCTTTTGAATTTGCTGCTTTTAGATGGGTCTTAGCTTTAAACTGTGTTTTTAGGTATTGACATTAAGGCCGAAAGGTTATTGGAAGAACTTGACAATGGAGTGCTGTTGTGTCAATTAATCAACGTTCTTCAAAATATGGTAAAAGCACGCCACTCCGAAGAACCAGGGGTAAGCAAATACTGACAGCGACGAAGTTCATTGTTCATGTCTACTTTTTATTGTTATTATTATTTGTTTTTTATTTATTTATTTCATATCCTGACTGCAGTTTCCCCTCCCTCCTCTCCTCCCAACCCCTCCCCTGCACCACCTCTTCTCCCCCATCCACCTCTCCTGTTTCTGTTCAGAAAAAGGGTAGACATGTCTGCTTCTTATTACCTCTATGTGGGTATTTCCATCATATCACTGGCTATGAGACTTTGGAAACTGACTTAATGTTTTGTGCATCTGAAAAAACATATTTGTAAAATAGAGTCAGTAACACTGACTGGGGCTTGGAAGGTGGCTCCATTGGTAAACTTCTTATTGTGTAACATGTGGCCCTGAGTTCAGATCCCCAGAACCCAAGTACAAGGTGGCCGTGGCAGCTTGGGCCTATGATCCCAGGACTGGCAGACAGAGACAGGCAGATCCCAGAGGCTGTCTGGCCTACCAATCCAACCAGCCAGTGAGTGTCAGGTTCACTGAGAGATCTGCCTTAAAGAAACACGTCTCCATGAACACGCACACGTGCATCCACCAACATACACACACCAGAAACAACAACATAAATATTTACGTTGCAGGGTTTATTTGTGACCATTCACTGATGTTAAGCCCATAGATGGTGTCTAGGATAGTGCCCGGTATCCTACAGGTGATCTCCAGCACCTAGATGCTCACGTGACAGAGCCTTCCGCGGGCTGCTGGGTGGTTATGGGGGGAAGACTTTGTGACAGTCCCTGGCTGTGCTGCCTAGTTTTATATCAACTTGATATAAGCTAGAGTTATCTGAAAGGCGGAAACTGCAATTTAAAAATGTCTCCATAAGATCCTGCTGTAGGGCATTTTCTTAGGGATTGATTGGGGCGCCATCCCTGGGCCAGTGGTTGTATACGAAAGCAGCTCAGCAAGCTGTGGTGGGCAGCACCCATCCACGGCCTCTGCAGCAGCTCCTGCCCCCAGGCTCCGGCCCTGCTGTCCTGACTTCCTTCAGCCATGAGCAGTATCATATGGTTTATCCAGATAAACCCTTTTCCTCCCCAGCTTGCTTTTGGCCATAGTGTTTCGTCACAGCAGTAGTGACCCTGACTAAGGCAGTGAGACGTGCGTCACCCATCTGTCGTCATCGTCGTCACCATCTTTGTAGTCTTCAGCTGCTGCCAGAGTAGTGAATTGATAAGTATTGATGGAATGCACAACATACAGCGTTTTCAAAAGAGAAGCTTAGCGTGACGGTTTAAAGTGGATTCGGTTTTCTTTCTTTTTATCAAGCATTAAGTGTTTTTGAGAGTTTGGAGCCTAGACATACTATTAGTTAAATATTAAGCTGTTCATTGTTCCCGGAGGACAGTGAGTGAGATATCTCTATGTGTAGATGCATATATGTGCATGTATGATCCATATAGTGAGATATCACTCTGTGTAGATGCATATATGTGCATATATGGTCCATATAGTGAGATATCTCTCTGTGTAGATGCATACATGTGCATATATGATCCATATAGTGAGATATCACTCTGTGTAGATGCATACATGTGCATATATGATCCATATAGTGAGATATCACTGTGTAGATGCATACATGTGCATATATGATCCATATTACTCTATGTATAGATGCATGCATGTATACATATGATACATATAGTGAGAGATCACTAGATGTAGATGCATACATGTGCACGTATGATCCGTATAGTGAGATATCACTTTGTGTGTAGATGCATATATGTGCATATATGTATCCATATGTATAATACTAAAAATAAAGTACTTCTATTGATATCTAAAATTCTCTACTTCTAGAAACTCATTCTGAGAAAAATCACAGCTAGAAATAATATAATCTGCTTGTCAATAGAGAAGTTGTAAAATTATGTTGCCTAAACATTGGAATATTCTATATTCATGGAAATAATTATTTAAATGTGTTCTTTTTAAGTCATAAATATGCCCACAACCTATCCAGTGTACATACACTCAAAGTGCATGCGCACACATAGACATCAAATTGTAGAATTGTGTCTCTCTGGCATTTTCTAGGTTCACATGCATAGCTTTGCGGGGATATTTTATGGAAATGTCAGCGAGAGGAATTCATTTGCTACTAATCATCTTTGTATTTTGCTATATTTATTTGTGTATTTCTGGTAATGATAATATATTCTGTATTTGATCATGCACGCGGGCTGTTTTGGTTCTGGGAAATAATAGCACCCGGAAGGAGACACATAGGTTTGGTAACAGCCGTTGTCTCTAGGGAGAGAGACTGGCAATGATGGAGAAAGACCTACTGTACCTATTGCGCTAAAAACACCAGTGTTGTGCATTGCCAACTAAAAAGTAAAAGCAAAGACCTCCCCTTTCCCGCCCCAGTCTCAGCAGGAATCTCAGCATTCTCTGGAGCTAGACAGTTAAGAAAACACAAGTACCAATTTAGGGTTTTATAAAACTTAGGTCATCCAAGAACCTGAATTAAGAATGTGCAGCTACTCCCCTATTTTATAGTCTGTTTAAGAAACTCAGGGGCAGCCTTCATGAGTCCGTGTGGGGGAGAGGAAAGCAGAAATGAGTATGTTAGTTCACAACACAGCGAAGTTTGTGTCTGAGCTTAACTGTGCAGAGTGCACTGTAGCCGCTTCGTGATTACCAGGCCGGCGCTTAAATGCTGACGTTCTTGTGCTATTTTAAAAAGAAGATTAGAGGAGCTTGAATCCACTGCTGATTTTGCGTGGATCATTTTCCTCAGCATCTTTTTCTGGGAGATACTTAAAGTAAAAGGAGAAAGTCATTTCTGAAGATAATAGTTTTCCCTCCAAGCTGTGGAGTCTGTAGTTATACTTAATACACTTAACAGTGATTTTGTCAGATACTAAAATGAACACCGAATGAAAATATCGCTCGTTCTTTTTTTTTGGTAAATTGTCCTTCTGCCTTTTCCAGAACTTTCCGATGAGAAAAGTGCCTTGTAAGAAAGATGCCGCGTCAGGATCGTTCTTCGCCAGAGACAACACGGCAAACTTCCTCCACTGGTGCCGGCACGTCGGCGTTGACGAGACATACCTCTTTGAGTCTGAGGGTCTGGGTAAGTGCGGCAGCTCCCGCCAGAGCTTTTTGTGTTTATTAGGCTGTTTTGTGTTTCTAAATTTCCTTTCTAAATAGTGACTCAAAATGCCATATCGCTATTACTTAGCAAGTTGTACTATATCAAATATAGTAAGCTTTTCACTTGCGCCAATAGGCTTCGTGTATCTAGAATTCTCTGAGTCAGCTGCCACAAGATTCTGTACTAATGGTCTACTGGTATTTTCCTGAAGATTGACTCCTCCAGTTGTGAATTACTAGCAATTCCTCTTTAACCAGCTCATTATAGAAAGAACAGGTGAAACGTGCTTATAGTATTTGGATTGAATTATAAATAATAACTTCCCTCTTTGTTATCTAAAAAGAATATATTTTGATATTTCATTAGAGAAATAGTGCCCCAAGCTGGGCACTGGTGGCACATACCTTTAATCCCAGCACTCAGGAGGCAGAAGTTCAGGGCCAGCCTGGTGTGAGTTCCAGGACAGCCAGGGCTACACAGAGAAACCCTGCCTTGAAATGCAATCCCCCCATACACACATAAAATCATGCTCTACTGAAAGATTGTTGATGTATTTTTCTCATTTTCTAAAGTCAGCAGAAGCCCCTCTACGGCACTAGTGGAGCAGCTGACTACTGTTTACACACACCTTTCAAACCACTTATAGGTGTGTATACGTGTGCATATGAAATTTGAAATTTACGCCCTGGCAATGCTGCAGCAGGCACGGGCAGCCCGTGTATGGCGGCTCTGTTGAACTCGTCCACATTGGGTTTCACAGTCTAAGTGGATGAGGAAGACTGACCAGGTCTCTTCCTCAAGAGGGCACCAGATCTCATTACAGATGGTTGTGAGCCACCATGTGGTTGCTGGGAATGGAACTCAGGACCTCTGGAAGAGCAGGTAGTGCTCTTAACCGCTGAGCCATCTCTCCAGCCCCATGTACAAAAATGCACATGCATGGAATGAATGATGTTACAGTGTGAGCCATACCCAGAGGGGACACTTCCTAGACAGGAGTTTCATCTCTGACGCTGTTTACAGCTCCCGATTTGTAGTGACGATTAAAAGAAGCAAACTTTTTTAGTTGAACTTGTTAGTTTTAAGACTCTTCGCCCACAGTGTGAAGTGTGTTCTGCGCCTGGCTAATCTGCCGCCTGTGGTGTGCTCTGGCCCCCCGCCCTCCGCCCAGTGCAGAACGCCCTGCAGGCTGGCTGTGCTCTAAACCCAGGTGTGCCGATTGTTACTGACGATGATGCTGTGGACAGCGCATCCAGCCACCAGCCATCAAAGGGAGGAGGAGATGCTTTGAATGCCTTCCTTTGTAGCTTACTCATTTTGAAAAGGTCTGAGATTTTCATTTATTTTTTAAATGTAAAAGACATCTTCCAGCAGTGCTGAAGGGCGGCACTGGACTGAGAAAAATCCAGAAGCTCCTTTGCAGGCACCGGAGTGAGATACAGATGCTTGACTTGTATTTTACATTTGCCTGAAACTCAATGTCATTTTGAAAAATAAATATGCTATTTTAAGGTACTTAGGATATTTATAAAAACAGGTTTGAAATATTTCATGATAAATTCCTTTATTTCTGTGGCTTTAACTCAAATAGAGGCCCTTTCTGTTGCTTTAAGAGGTAATGCTTTACAGCCAGGCATGTTGGTGCATACCTGTGACCTCGGCCTGAACCTTGTATCAAGACTTGCTTCAAAGGAAACAGATCCTTTGTTTTGTGTATGCAGTGGATACTGTTCACACCTCAGAGAGCAACTGCCCTGTCTATTGGTGGAACACATTGCATCTTAGGTTAGGATTCCAGAGTTGCTCAGGACTTCTTGTTAGACTCGAGGGAAAACCATTTCCACAACTGTCTGATTAAGCAACCTTTGTTTAGATTGACCAGAGAGCAGCCTTGCCCACAGTCAGGATTTCGGAGAGCAGCCCCTCTGGCTTTTGAGTTTCTTCTTATGGGGAAGACAGGCTAGATAGAATACAGCTGTTGAGATGATTGGCTATTGGCATCTGGACAGAAGAGAGGGAACTCGGGGTTCAAGGCTGCCTGTGGGGTAGATAAGCGCAGAACACATGCTGTGGCAGGGGAGTCAGCAAGGCGTCTGGTTAGACACATGTTTGTAAGGCAATCATATATCGCAGGGTCAGCAGGTTAGCAAGGCAAAGGGGTGGGTATACATTATGGGGTCGCACTTTCGCGTAAGCCTGGAATGACAGTTTGGAGCCATCATGTTGGTCCTGGGAAATAAACCTGGGTCCTCTGAAAGAGATCAGTGCTCTTAACTGCCAAGCCATCTCATCTCTCCAGCCTCAAATTTAAAAATTTTAAGTTTGTCTCTCTTCTTTATTTTACTTTGTCATATCTAAATAGTATTGCCTAACAAAGGCAATGCAAATTTTTACCTGTTTTTTATTGTCCTGAAGCCACAAACTGTGCAATGGTGAACAGAATTGGTGGGCGTGATCCTGTTATCTTTAACCTGGCCTTTGGAGGAACATTTCCACCATGACCTTACACGTAAATGATATTAGGATGTTGTAGGTTTTCACGGATGCCCTTTATCAGCTCGAGAAAGTTCTTTTCTGGTCTTTTATTGGTTTGTTTTTTGTCTTTTGTTTGACAAATTGAAATAGTGTTTGAGTCTTTCTAATTCTTTGATCTGTGGTACCCCTGTTTTGTGATGAGACCCCTGTGTCTATTAATGACAACAGTTGATTTTCATATACTGACGCATTCCTTGTATAAACCTCACAGTCTCATTGCACATCACACTTCCCGTGTGCTGCTGGGTTTTGCTGCCAGTGTGTCGAACATCATTCCGGTCACATCTGTGAAACCTGGGTACTGGTTTTTAGTTCTCTTGTGATGCCTTCCTCTGGCTTCCAGCTTTGTTTTGAAGATAATGATGCTTCATAGAGGGGATCTGTCAAGTCTGGGAAATATTCATAGTTCAGGGTAAACTTGAAGTAGCACTGTGGGGAGAGAGCAGAGGTCATTTTCGAGGGTCTTCGATCTTCTACACCTTATATTTCTCACTAGTCTGCAGCTCATTGGTTAATCTAGGTTGGGCGACCCCTGAGCTTCAGGGACATCTGTCTCTGTCTATCCCAGCACCGTGCTTACGGTGGTGTGCACTGTGCCTGGCTTTTGATGGGATCTGGGTGTCTGAGCTCACACCCCCGCGTCTGTGCAGTAAGAACTTAAGACTGAGCCGTCTCCCCAGCCCCTAACATAATTCAGTGCTACTAAGTCGGTAGGTTTTGAGGTCTGAAATGTTGAGCAAGTGACTGTCGTGGCCACTGCCCGTTCTCTTTGTGCCCAGCAGTTTGTTTTTAATGCAGAAGAAATTGTGGTGTTGACAATAAAAATGTCTTTTCTGAGTCTTGTCTAAACAAGTGAGCCTGTTGTCTTCATTATTCTTTCCTTTGACTCTCTCCTATCTCAGAATGTATTTCCCAATTTAAATCTGTATGATCTTAAAATGAATGATCTTATTTTTCCCCAGTTTTACATAAAGACCCCAGGCAGGTGTACCTTTGTCTTCTTGAGATTGGTCGAATTGTGTCAAGGTACGTATTTCTCAGTATTTCAGAATTTTAACATCAAAAATACCTTTAAGTGACTTAATTTTATCAGAGTTTCTGTACCCAAAGAATGTGACTCTTGATTAAAATGAAGTAACCCAATTTTCTGTTTTATCTTTGTATGTCTGTGTTTGTATCTGCACACACGTGTCAGCCTCAGCTTTCCTCACTTACCTTCATTTCGTAGTAAATTATGAAAATGCTACTTAAAATTTTCAGGTTAAGAATGGGGTAAATATATGTAATGTCAAGCAGTTCAAAGCAAATCAAGTCCCATTTCGTAAGAGGGCTCAGCCTTTGTGTCCCCTATGCTTGCATCAGCCCTGTCCACCCACCAGCTTGTTTTAGAGCGGCTTTTCAGGACACCAAAATAATACTGAAAATACTACATAATCCAGATATATGCTATGATATTAGAGATGATATATAGTCTGGATTGGACAATCTGAAATATTAAAAACAACTTCCAGCTGGGCAGTGGTGGTGCACTCGGGAGGCAGAGGCAGTGGATCTCTTGAGTTCACGGCCAACCTGGTCTACATGGTGAATTCCAGGACAGCCAGGGCTACGCAGAAAAACCCTGTCTCAAAATATTCAGAAAGGAAAAAAAAAAATCCAGACTCCAGCTGTGGCAGTGAAACAGTCTGTAGGGAGTCACACAGACTTCGCTCCAGACATACACCGTCTCCTGTTTTGATCTGCTCGATCTGCAGAGACGTAGTCGGTGCGCATTGCATGAGCAGATTTCCTGGCTTGTTTTCAGATATGGAGTTGAGCCACCAGTATTAGTGAAACTTGAGAAAGAAATTGAGTTGGAAGAGACCCTGCTTAATGCCTCGGGCCTTGAGGAGCCCATCAACACCCCCAAATCCTGCCGTCATCATGAAGAGCTACACGAAGCTGTAAGTAATCGCTCTGCTTTGTGGACTGCACCGCCTCAAGTTTCAGTTTTAGGTGTCTCTAAAAGGCTGCCGGAAATGCTGCCTATAGAAGAAGATGGTGTTTATTGAGAATAGTTAACATATAGGACAATTACTATTTGATTCTTTATGTTGAAGCCTGTTACATGTGCAAATGGAACTTTATAAACTTAAGAAGATCCTGCAGGAAGTAATGGCTATAATAAATGTCTCCATCAGGTCACTTTGGTCAACTAACGTATAAACGAGGTGCTAACCGTCAGCTTTACCTGACTCAGCATCTGTGGTGTGTCAGTGTGGGTGCCAGTGTGCATATGTACCCGGTCAGTGAGCAAGAGAAACCTTATTGAGTGATTCAGACTAATCCTAGATGTTTATAAGCACATTTCCTTGTTAAATGGACAACATGGAAATTGTTTCTATTAATAGCATGTTTTTATCATAATTGTTAACTTACTTTTGGTAGATAAAGCAATCATAAACTCCTTTTAGCGCACAGATAAATTGGGCATAGCCGAAGAGACTGCTTAAAACATTAGGACTAAGTTCAATTAAGTGAATATATTTTGATATGCTCTGTATGAGAAATAATTGTGAGAAATAGTTATGACCATTTTTGTTGTTTTGTTTTGAAATGGGTTCTCACTATACCACTACGGCTGGCCTGACACTCTATATGTAGGTAAGGCTTCTCTCAAATAAGCAGAGATACCAGCCCTTTCTCTCCTGGGTGCTGGGATTAAAGGTACGCACCAGCACGCCAGGTATGACCTCTTTTTTTTTTTTTTCTTTTAATGTAATTTGTGAAGAAAAGCCCAATAGTTGTCTTAGTGGCTGATCTATAATGTTTTTCACTTAAAACATATTTCAAACTATATCATCATTTAATCAATTTACTTTCCTTATTTAAAATACAGAATTACTAAACGTCTTTTCCTAGCTGCTGTAATTTTACCGTTTTCTTGAGGCCCTCTCGAGGTTCAGGGAACATTAAGGAAGAGGAGGTTCAAGGGCTGTAAGGTCCAGGGGTCACGGAGGATTGTCAGCGTTCCAGCGTGGGTGGGCTAGGATCTCAAGGTCCCAGCCCTAGCTGAGAAGCAATTGGCATTGGATCCATTGGAGGAGGAGGAGGGAGAAACAGGTTTCTCCGGGTGTGCGGCCCCTGCAGGTTGTCCATGACCGGATGGACCGTGCTGCATACGGCAGCACTGAGTGGATTATCAAAGAGAAGACATGAAGCTGGGAGGCGGGTGGGAAGAAGTGTCTGAGAGGGCTTGAAACGGGCGAGTTGGAGGTGAAGATACAATCACAACACATTGTCTACATGCTTGAAGTTCTTAATAAGTAAGACAGCATTTTGAGGGGTAGAAGTGAAGTTTTTTTTTGTTGCTTTTCTCACGAAGTGTTGGATTGGAGCCAATGCCTCCTGGACTGAAATATTAAGCACTTCACCCCATCCCGGGCATATAGACATGTGTCTCTGCTTATGTTAGCAGTAGCTTGGAACAATGTAGGTGTTCCTCTCCATTTGTGTGCGAGTTTAGCATTGTCTTAAAAGGGAGAAGGGCGACTTCTTAGCCTGCATCTGACTGGATGATCTTTCATTTGACACACATGTAGTTAGTTATCAAGGCTCAAAACAGTTCAAGCCTCCGGTGAGCTCACGTTCCTAAAGATCAGCAAGTGTGTTTCGAGGTGACCCTGGTCTGACCCACTGTCAGACCTTCTGCATTTGTAACTTCAGGCCTGGTTTCATTTGGTCTAAGATAGGGAGACCTGGGCCTCGTCACTGTTGGCTGTTGCTAATCCATCGTCTGACTTCAAAACCTGTTATGTTGGCACGGAAAGAAGAGAGAAGAAATAGTCGAACTGGCTTTGAAGTTTTGTCTTTGAGATTTATTTTCCTATCCAATAACATTTTCAAATTTTGATAAGCTATTTTTTCTAATAAGCATGGAATATCGATATTTATTTTTAATTTTAGGTTAAACACATTGCCGAGGACCCTCCTTGTAGCTGTTCTCATCGATTTTCTATTGAATACTTATCTGAGGGGCGTTACCGGCTCGGGGAGAAAATACTCTTCATAAGGGTAAGCTTGCTGTGGCAGCCTGTATTCAGACAAGCTTGTCTTGGGATGTGCTTATTATGTTCCCGGCTCCTTTTGATTCCCCTTTTCCTTGTAAAGAAAGAAAAATTAGAATAGAGGCTGCTATTAATGGAAGAATTTCACTGGACAGGAAAGGTGTGGTATACTTGATTCCAGGAAATTTTAAGTGAGCTTGCATAGGTGCTTTTAACTTTCAAGCAGTGAACTAGAAGGCAGCTGAGACTACTTAAGTCACTGAATATAACTAAATGACAATATCTTCGTGCACTGTGTTTCTCGGCGTTCTGAAATGGAACAATTTTCCATCAGCTCCCTAAGAAGAAATGAGCAAAATAGAATGCCCAGTAAGAGTTCTAGTAATAGTAAGAAAATAAGCAGAAATATTACCATTCGTAATGATAAATACTTTGAGGTAAACAAGCTCTTTTTTTAGGTCATGTGCCAGTATGCTGACAGTACCCATGTTTGTGGCCTTCCTCTGCCTCATCTATAGTTGATTTTTTATCACTTTTATTGATGAGGAAATCAAAATTTCACCTGTCTAGCATTTTTTTTATCTTGATATAATGCAAGAGCTGTCTTCTCTCAATTTAGGAACATAATATAAAACTCCTTAAACATGCAATTTCACCGTCTACATTAGGAACATAATATAAAACTCCTTAAACATGCAATTTCACCGTCTACATTAGGAACATAGTATAAAAGTCCTTAAACATGCAATCTCACTGTCTACATTAGGAACATAATATAGAAGTCCTTAAACATGCAATCTCACTGTCTACATTTCTTTTCACATAGAATCATCATATCCCCGCCTTGGATCCAACTCATCTAGGAGCCCCCAAATTCACTTTCTGTCTCCTAATTAGCTCTCTTTAAGATTTTTATTTGCTAATTTTGTTGTTGAGCGGTTTCCTACATGTCTATACTGTCTTCTCATTACTCTCCTCCTTCCCGCTGTCCTCTCTTCCCTCCCCGCTCTCCTCTTTCCTTACCGCCGTCCTCCCTCCCTTCCCTGCCGTCCTCCCTCCCTTCCCGCTGTCCTCCCTTCCCCGCCGTCCTCCCTCCCTTCCTGCTGTCCTCTCTTCCCTCCCCGCTCTCCTCTTTCCTCCTCCCTTCCCGCTGTCCTCTCTTACCTTGCCCTCACCCCCGTCAACTCAGTCTCATCATCGCTACCAGTCCCTCCTGGTATTTACAACTTTGATTTAGTTTTGTGGCTTAGTTTAATTGGACCATCTGTTTATCAGTTGGATTGGAAACTCCTCACTGGAGCCTGGCCGGGTCATCAATGGATACTCCTGAAGGCAATGTCCCCTCCCTGAATCTGATCGATAGCAAACAGAAGCAGAAGCCAGGTCGACTTGACTGTTAATAGCCGCTGCCCAAACTGACCTGAAGAAACATCTGAGACTAAGTGACTCTAGAGTCTTCCTTTTTTCTTTCTTAGCAAATATTCAGCCCTGAGAGAGTGGGGTCCCCTAAGTCTCTTCTCCATCCATGCCTGATAGTTGGGCCCAGCCTTGTAGAGACTCCGTGGCCCTCTACAGCAGCTGGGAGGGAGTTCATGACCTCAGTGGCTGTGACTCAGCCCTTCTTCTGCTCATCTGGCTCTTACGTTCTTTCCACCCCCTCTCCCAAAATGTTTCCTGAACCTTAGAGACCTGACTTGGACTTGAGCAGTCCTCATCCGTCACGTCTGTGCAGTCATGGCTCCGCCTTCCCTGGAAAGAGGGGGAGTGCTGAGCTGTGGTGCAAACATGACGTCGGCAGGAGGTGGAAGAGCGAAAGTTGAAAGCTGAGCTCATAGAGATGTGAAGGTCACCAGCTGAGGGGCCAGGGCCAGAACCCGGGCTTGTTTACCCCTACAGAAGTGGGCAACCTGGTATGGTCCAGGCTAGCCACAAATGTCTTAATCTCTCAGAGCTGCTTTATCTGCAAGGATAAACTAATAGTAATTTGTATAAGTATTTTAAAGGTGTAATTGATAGAATATAACTTTTTTTGTTTTTGTTTGTTTGTTTGTTTTTTGTTCGAGACAGGGTTTCTCTGTGGCTTTGGAGCCTGTCCTGGAACTAGCTCTGTAGACCAGGCTGGTCTCGAACTCACAGAGATCCGCCTGCCTCTGCCTCCCGAGTGCTGGGATTAAAGGGGTGCGCCACCACTGCCTGGCATAACTTTTTTTTTTAAAGAAAGAAATCCTCTTTTTAAAATTTTTTTTATTTATTATGTATACAGTGTTCTGTCTGCATATATGCCTACTCTCCAGAAGAGGGCACCAGATCTCATTACAGATGGTTAGAAGCCATCATGTGGTTGCTGGGAATTGAACTCAGGATCTCAGAAAGAACAGTCAGTGCTCTTAACCTCTGAGCCATCTCTCCAGCCCTAGAATTAAAGTGCTAGCTTTAGTTGCTGTTTCTCCTGATGACTTTTTGTCTCTCGTGAGGCTTTTTATTTCTTTTCCTTCCCTCCTCCTGCATGCCATTCTTTCAACGATGTCACTATTGCAGTTTTCTATGTTAACTATGTGGATTTTAGGATGCAAGTTATCTGTACATACTTTTATTACAAAGTGGAGGGCTTTATTAGCACTATAATGATAAATTTATCATTTTGATACTCAACAAGGACTGTTGATTTGAAAGAAAGCTATTGGTGAATACTCGGAGTTTCACAGGTCATAGAAAAAAATGCAAACCGTTATTGTTAGCAAACCGAAATGATGTTTCACTTTTTATTTCTGTTTTTGGGGCAGATGCTTCACGGAAAACATGTTATGGTCCGTGTTGGTGGAGGCTGGGACACTCTGCAAGGATTTTTGCTGAAATACGACCCCTGTCGAATACTGCAGTTTGCTACATTAGAACAAAAAATCTTAGCGTTTCAAAAAGGAGTCTCTAATGAAAGTGTGCCAGATTCTGCTGCCAGAACGCCTCAGCCTCCAGAAATGAACCCTTTGTCAGCAGTTAACATGTTTCAGAAACAGAATTTAAAGCCTGGCACACCAGCGAGTGCTCCAAAGAGCAAGGAGAGGCAGGCGCGCCCACCAGGTGCGGTGCCTGCTGCTGCACCAACGAAAGGCGGTCTGGCTCCTCTGTCCACCCGCTCTAAACTTCCGGATTCTCCAGCATCGTTTTCCCACCCCAAGGTCACATCTTCGAAAGGCAGAGCAAAAACCCCGCACACTGCTCCCCACGGTGTGTCTTCTCCGGCGACTTCTTCAAACTCAGGGAGTAACAGCTCTACACCAGCTTCCTCAAGCTCTGCTCCATGTGCGCCTGCGTCGGTGAGAAAATGTGTCACGTTCCCCAAGACTGCTACGACCGTGGCTGCCCCAGTCCAGAATGCAGGAGATCTCTCTAGGTCTAGACCTCTGCCGACTACGTCTTCTGGGAAGATGAAACCAAAGCCTTTGAAACACAATCATCTTTCTTCCCGGGAGGAGTCACCTGTACCTTTATCATCAAAGTGTCCAAAGCTACCTAAGGGAACCATGCACAGGGGGCCTAGCCCTTCGCCTTTCCAGTCCCCTGCAAGAGTGACAACGCCCGGTTCTAAAGCCAGAGCCGGAGGTCTGGGGACACAGTCTCAGCCGCCTGGAAGACCTCTGAAGTCCAGGGCAATCTCAGCACCAAGACTTCATCATCCAGCTTCTTCATGTTCGGTGTCCTCTGCAAAAGCTACCAAGGAACCAAAAGGTGAGAATATCGTTTCAGTTGCTAGAAAGCAACCACAGAGTAAGGGTACCTGCCAGAAGACAGGACCCGGCTCTCCTGGCCGAACCCCGCTGTCCATTGTGAGTGTCCCCCAGTCCTCTGCCAAGACAGAAACTGGCTCAAAGTCAGCACAGACCGCCACGCAGGGCCAGTACTCAGCTAAAGGGCCTCCCAAAAGTGGCATGCCACCCCCTTCCACCAGGAAGCCACCCTCATCTGCTAAGGGAGCAGCCAGCGGAGATAAAAAGCCTCCTGCCAAGAAAAAGGAAGACGATGACCATTATTTTGTTATGACCGGAAGTAAGAAACTCAGAAAATAAACGCATTGGTATCACTTTAACAAACCAGGGTGGCCGCACAGAATGGGAATCAGCTCCGTCAGGATCACAAAGGGTCTCCCTATGTGCCTTTGTCGGGATAGCTGCAGACATGAGGTCAAGATGGGGATGAAGGCGGGAACAGAGCTGGGCCGAGGAGAGGACTCACAAGTGTTTTGTATATTAATAGGCAAATTATGGGTTTTAATCTGTACCATCTTGTTAGCATCTGCAGTTTGAGGGAAATGTAAAAGTTGAACAACACTAATAGAATTGTAGCTGTCATCCTTGTATCTTTGAGTGGGTAGTAACCATGGAGACTGTCTGCTACTAGCAACTAATGCACTGAACACTAGTTACTGTGTTCAGTCATACAGCAATGGTTTGCTTGGCATTAGCGTGTGCCTACAATCCCAACTCTGAAGGCTGAGGCGGGACACCTGCCCGGGGTACATAGTAAAACCCAGCAACGGTTTGACATGTGCTGTAAAAGGCATCGAAGTTGATTTTCTTATAGGAATCCTAGCCCAACAATCCTAAGTACCTATGGCTGCTGCTGCTTGGTTTGATATTATGGATTAAGTGAAATTCTTATTATTTAATTCTGTAACCCTTCCATATCAGAAGGGACTTTTAAAATTAAAATTGGCCTTTTATTAATATTAATAGCATTTTATAATCAATATTTTTGGTAAAAAAAAAAAAAGAAAAGAAAGAAAAAGAAAACCCGCTGGGTGATTGTGGTGCACACCTTTAATCCCAGCACTCGGGAGGCAGAGGCAGGTGGATCTCAGTGAGTTCGAGGCCAGCCTGGTCTATGTAGTAAGTTCCAGGACAGCCAGAGCGGCACAGAGAAACCCTGTCTTGAAGAAGAAGAAAAAAAAAAAAAAAAAACCCAAGTAAGTTAATTTCTTGGAACAAAACCTGAGATTTAGTAAAAAGTAAGATTTTTTTTTAAAATGTAACAACGTATACACTTTGTATCTATTATTTTTACATGAAATCTGCAGGGAAACAAATTTAATATCTTTTAGCATATTAAACTATTTTTAAAAACAAATAGACATTTCCTATGTGTGCAGACAAGTATTTTTACATTAAAACAATGTTTTGATACCAGAATTAAGTTTCAGTGATCTTAGCACTAAAATGATAAGAGTTGGGGGAGGAGGCTCCACGGGTAAAATACTCTTCGTGCCCGCGTGAGGACTGGAGTTCGGATTCCCAGCACCGGCATAGGAATGGGTGGGCAGGAGGTTTGCCTGCAGTCCCTGCACGGAGGAGGAAGAGACGGGGTCTCCTGGGACAAGAGAGATGCGATGGCCCCACAGGCAGACCTAGCTTGTGACGCAGTAGAGTCTACAACCTCACACCATCATCTTTGTGTTGGGTGATCAAGAGTAAAGATATCGTCCAGGAACCTGGCACAAGTTCTAGAATTAACTTTAGGTTTATTATTTGGAAAATAAAGTGTATTAGTCTATCCTTCAGCAGAAGGGAATTTCTCCAGTTACAGTCACAGGATCAGTTTCTGTCTGTGGAGCTTCTTTTCCCCAAACATTCGTTTTATGTGAATAAGAAATTAAATTCCATGGGACTAGAGAGATGGCTCAGCAATTAAGAACACTTGTTATTCTTGCAGCGCATCCAAGTTTGATTTCTAGCACCCACACAGGGCCTCACAGTCATCCAGACTCCAGACCTTCTGCTTCAGGGTATCTAATGTCTTCTGGCCTCCACAGGCACCAGGCATGCAGATAAAACATATATGGGATAAATAACTAAATCTAAAAAGCCTTTCCTTCCTCACAAGTTAAAAAAAAATTATTCAGATATATTTTGAAATTTTCTAAAGAGCTGATGAATCTCTGCCACAATTTAAAAAAAATTATATTGCAGTTGTATTAATTTCTTTTTAGTAATAGTATGACATTACATAAGGTCTTTTATGTTTAATATTTGATAAAGCAAATATTAAGCATAAAGTGCTGAAGTACCTGGAAGATATAGTGTGTGGTCTCTGAAAAATAGATTGTTTTTCTCTTCTATAATTTATGAATGTGTCGTTATATAAAATGATTGTTTTTCCATTGGCCCTCAAGGGAGGAATTTGGAGAGCGAGCCTTCAGAATGCTTGCAGTAATTAATGACCTTGGAGTATCATCCACATTGTTTTGTTTTTCCAAGACAATGTCTTCTTGTATAGCCATGCCTTGCCTGGCATACTCTATATAGCCCAGTCTGGCCTTGGGCTCAAAGCAATCCTCCTGCCTCAGCCTCCTGAGTACTGGGTTTGCAGATTTGAGCCACCACACTCTGCCTGAGTTTGTAGTTCTTAATGGATAGAGGAATAGTTTGAAGAAAATAATTTCTCCTGCAGCCATTTTGTGTGTCTAATTTAAAATCTGTTACTTCCTCAAAAGGAGCTAATAAAGGTTATGACGTATTCTTACACCCAAGCTTCATACCAACTCTATGTGAGTTCGGATTTGTATATATTCTGTTTTGTGTGTGTACGTGTTTGTGTGCCAGCAGTATTTATATCCAATTTAACTTATTTTTATCAAGTATTAAAATGTAAACATAAACCCTAGTCTCCGTTTGTGGTTTTTTGTTTTGTTTTTTTAGTTGTATTCTGAATCCATTTTGTTTATTTGACCCATGTTGGAAATTGCATATATAAAACTCGTAAACTGAGAAGAGGTTGAAATCTTAGGTTACTTTAAATGTTTTTATTGCTTTGCTCCTAGATGTTTGCTTCAAAGAGACCAGATTCGTGGTTAATCATCTCTGCGATAATAGCAGTTGTCAGTTATTACAGTCACATTCTGTCGGTCACGTGAACACTGTGTCCACAGGAGGCTGTGATTGCAGGTCCCCTCGCCCCGTATCAGTTTCATTCTTTGATGCAACGTGAATGTATTTGACATTTTTGTCTTTTTATGTCTTTTCTTTTTTTTAATGACCAAAGCAATTGTAAAAATCAGTTAATCTAGTATGTTTTTCTGTGCTGTTTCCAAGAATGAAATCCAAAATCACAAACGAAGTTTTATGTTTTCCTAGTTTTTTATAAATGTAAAAAGTTTAAACAAATTCATTTTATGACATTTTAGAAAACATTGGGAACACTTAAGCCTTTCTGGGTGCGTCTGAAAATACAAGTTTTATTAAGTAGTTTTGCAGTATCTATACTGTTTTTGTAAAAAGCCACAGTCTTGAAGAAATAATACAAAGAGAGTGTATTTCTGTCTTTTTACGTTTAGATGGCAGCAGTTCAAGTAGTGGTTACAGGTTGCCTTACTACACACCTATTAATTCACCTCCGTGGCCTGTCTTTTATGATTTCATATAGTATACTGTATTGGATATGATCCATTTCTATACTGTTTTAATTTCTCATATTAAAAGGTATGCACACACAAAACTGTGTGTGACTCTGCCTCTGATGACACTGTTTGTGTTGGGCTTCTATGGGAGAGGAAAATGAGGGCATTATATTCAAGATCTTTGGGTGTGCATCACAAAACAAGTCACACCCGGCTTTCCAAGGACTCAGTGAGATGGCTATCATCTCTACTAGACTGTTAGAGCCAGTGGGAAGGCAAGAATTATAGCTGTGTTGTTTACCTCCACGTTGGTTCTTAAGACCTAAATCAAAGTCTGTAACACAGTAGCTGATGTGGGAGTCCCCTCTGTGTGCTGGGATTACCATTAATGAATAAAGTCAGAACTCAGGTAGGCAGGGAAAGCAAGGCTGGATGCTGGGAGAAAGAAGGGTGGAGTCAGACACCATGGAGCCCACCAGAGTTAAACATGCCGAAACTTTGCCGTTAAGCCACTGCCATGTGGTGATACACAGATTAATGGAGATGGGTTATACTAATACGTAAGAGTTAGCCAATAAGAAGCTAGAGCTAATGGGCCAAGCAGTGATTTAATTAATAGTTTCTGTGATTATTTCGGGTCTAAGTTAGCCACGCAGTTGGGAACGAAACAAGCGGCTCCTTGCTATAAGTAGCCATTTAATATAGTATTTTTATTGGAGGATTTTATACAGTGTATCCTGATCCTTTTAATCCATGGTCTTCTCCCCCCACCCCAGTTTCTTCAGAACCATTACAACACACACAACCACACACACACACAGTCTTTGTGTCATCTCCTCCTCCTTTAGAAGATGTCCTTGCAGCAGATGTCCTGGTCCTCCGGCTTTTATGATCTTTCTGCCCCATCTTCCATGATATTCACTGAGCCTTAAATGTAGGAGTTGTGTTGTAAATGTATTAATTAGGGGCAGGTATTCCGTGCTGTGTTGGTTTCTGCGTTTTTGGTCTTTTGTGGCTCTCTGCAGGGATTGCCATTAAGAATAAGCCCTAGAATACAGTGAGGGGTTATACCCATGTAGGAAACAGCTAAGAGTTCTCAAAGTTCCAGATCAGCTCCTCCAAACACTGGGTCCCAAGTGTGTGAAACAGCCATAGTCTGTTTCCTCCTTTTGCTGGAAAGTCCCAAGGACACTTGTGACCAACAACTCAAAAGGAGGTTTTCCATGTCAGCACTGGGGTTTTTATTAGTCTATGGTTTTAGAGGGAGCATTGCCACTATAAGATAAAATAAATCCTATAGCTCTTCAAATATCCTTAGTGTTTCTTAGCACTCCATGTTCCCATTCCTCCTCCTTGGTAAGTCTCCCTCCCTGTTTCTCCCATTTTCCCCTTCATAGCAAATGTGTCCTACTGTTCCCTAAATGAATACACTGGTCTTTTAAAAAAATTAGTTATCTGTATGTGTACATACATATATGTGCCCTTAGTTGGGTGCGTGAGCCACAGTGTGCATTGCGGTCAGAGGATAACTTGGAGTCATTTCTCCTCTTCCAGCTCATGTGAGTTCCAGGGACCAAACCCACACAGCAAGCATCTCATTCATCGGCCTGCGATAATTACAGAGCACTTTTATTCCTCTGTCCTGGGGACTTAACGCTCTGTACTTACTGCAGGTCAGTGAAAGAATAAGAAAAATAAATGTACTGTAGAATACATATGTCAATTAAATTGCCAGATAGTAGGGAAAGTAAATGTTGGTGAAAGATGATAGTGGTTTCCCCTAGAATATCCTTTATTTAAAAAGGAAACTTTTTAAAAAAATAATTATTTTTTTTTGAGTCATCAGGTTTCACACTTTTGCTTTCAGACATAAGTTACAGCCTGGAACGTGTCAGGGCTGTGTACTGTGTGTTACGTAGAAGCCTCTGGTAACGTACTGCATGAATGCAACACCCATTGCTGATGAAGTGCTGATGTTTGTTGGAAGAGGAGTGGCATTGACATGTAGCATTTTACTTTAATCCCAAACTCTGAAATAAAACCTAAACTGCGATTTATAATGATTTCCATTTACCTTAAGCATCAACAAAAGCAGTTTCTGAAGTTCAGGAAGCCCCAGGAGTTCTTGCAGAGTTTTTTCTCTTTCTTTTCTTCTTGATCTTTTTTTAAACCATCCCTGCTGAGAATGACAGTCTTTGAAATCCCCAGTCTCTGAGGCTCTGAGGGCAGGTGAAGAAAGGGGGGTGGTTTGGGTCCTGAGAGGGTGTCTCAGCAGGAGGGGAGGGCCAGGACTTGGCTCATCAATTCCTCCATCTCCCCTGACCTGGTGGGGTCAGCGCTACCCTTCATGTGTCGTCTGAATATCACTCAGAGGCTTCCAGATCCTTCAGGCTTGGGTGACTACTTACAGTGTTCTTTTTCCTGTTTTTACTGTGTTGAATGTGGCCGTGAAATTTCCCATTATCTAAAGCCCTCACCAGACCTGGACCCAGACTGCCAATTCATTCATTACCATGGCTCCTGCATTTAACACGGCACCTAAATGTTCACGGGAAGGAGGGAAGGACCTGATGGCAGCACCTAAATGTTCACGGGAAGGAGGGAAGGACATGCCACTGATGGAAGCAGTCTCGCCCTGTATAAAATGAACCTCAGGCTGCTTTTTGTTGACCCACAGCAGTGCAGGAATTTTCCAGAGAAAATGCCCAGGTAGAGTTGGAGAAGAAAGGAATGAGGTAATCAGAGATGCTGACATGACAGATTTCTTCAGTTGTGTGGATTTAGTAGAGATTGTAGCGTTTTGCAGAAGTAAAAGGTGGAGGATAACCTCCTTTACCATCCAGGCTTACTTTAAAATATTTCAACTCATAACACATTGGCTCTTCTTAGCCAGTGCCTTGTTACCAACCCTTTCCATTGTCTTGCTGAAACGATCCGGAATCCCAGGCCAAGGGACTACTGATATGATCAGTTTTAATTCTTCAGCCCAGTGTTGAAGCAAGAAAAAGAAGTCGGGGAGAGAGGGTCCTCTCAGGTGTCATGTGACTGTCCAAGTACCGGGCCCTTCAACAGGGCCCCTCAATACACTGGGTGGAGTCCAGCTCGTTTCTTGTGTTACCTGTGTTTATGGTTGATTCTCATGTGATCTTCTTGGCCACAGCGCAGTAAACACCAGTCCACCCAGTTGCTCATCCAGCAAACAATTTTTTAAATGCTTGCTTGACACAGCCTTTACTCTAAGCTAGGTGCTAGGTGGATGGATGACTCGCCCCAGCCCCTAGCGTCCATATATCCAAAGAGTCTGGAATGTTAGGGTGCAAGTTCCATCTCAAGTCCCCCGCCCTGGAAGCTGTCTCAGTCCATACTCCACCCCCAAGAAACCCTCCAAACAATGACCCTCCCCAGAGACGCTCAGGACCACTCCCACAGGGTATTTAAACTCCCCCCCCCCCTGCCCTGAGAATAAGCATGTGGTTTTTCTGGTCTTCCTTTCCCACCTCCTCTCTGGGGGGGTGGGGAGGTGGAAAGCCATTCAGGAACGTGGTATCTGTTAAACCTGAACTTTTTCTAATTTGGTTTGATTTGTTCTGATTTGGATTATTACATCCATGGAGAAGCTTATGGGGTAAAGAAACTTTTCACTAGGGATCTGCTGATAAGACTGTCCACAATTCTTTTATTTATTTATTAAAGATTTATTTATTTATTATGTATACAACATTTTGCCTCCATGTATGCCCATATGCCACAAGAGGGCACCAGATCTCATTACAAATAGTTGTGAGCCACCATGTGGTTGCTGGGAATTGAACTCAGGACCTCTGGAAGAACAGCCAGTGCTCTTAACCTCTGAGCCCTATCTCCAGCCCAATTCTTTTATTTGTGTTTTACTTTTATTGATTCTTTGTGGATTTCACATCATACACCATGCATTCCCATCCCACCTTCCTCCCTGTCCCTTCTAATCCACCCTCTGCCCTTGCAACCTCCCTCGAAAACAAAACCAAATTTAAAAGGAAAACCAAAACCCAAACAAAACAAAGAGCAGTAGGCTGTTTCTTTTCAGCCACTTCCATAAGAAGAACAGTGTTCCTGGTAACATCTGCTGCCTTAGCAAACGGCGGAGAAAACACGTTCTGTAAAACTAAGAGATATGAATCATAGAAACCACTTCTGCGCCAGCTTCCCGGGAGCCCTGTAGCCCAAGTGACCCCTGGGCATCATGGAAAGACCTGGCATCTTTAATTCACCCCTTTGGGTTTCAAGAAACAGATCCGTTCCATCTTTTTCTAATAGTAAGTTGTTCTTACGGACACACAGTCAAAAGGGCAGCAGGAATCTGGCATCAGCCCCCTAATTATCTGGACAGTGAGCCTCATGGGAGCTTGGATTGGAGAGGCATCCTGTTCATCTCCCTGCCTGTTATGACTTCCCGCCTCCTCCTGGGTGTTCTGCCGTGAGAATTCTTTCTCAAGCTTCTGCTTTTGGCTTTTGCATTTTTCTCTACCCAACAAAGAGTAAAATGTACCTGCTCTTGTTTTCAAGTCTCTAGACATAATCTGTTTGGCTTATCACTGCTGGGCTTTTTGGGGCAGAGCTGCTAGCAATAGACCCCTGCAGCCTGGGTCACCAGTCAACCAATGACTTGGCAGCTTCTAAACCTTGGCAAATCAGTCTGTTAGCACACAAGTCACATGTTCTAGACCCCTGGCTGCATCAGAACAAAGCATAGTTTGTCTCTCTTATTTTCCAGCAGAAACTGATGCCAGATAGTTCTTCTTAGAAGACTGTTTTGTCTAATCCTCTTAGGGGAGAAAAAAAAAAAGCCTGATATTTGCTTGAATTTTGTTTGAGTTAAGGATTCATTAAATTTCCAACACTGAACTTTTAGGCAATTGTGTCCAGAATGGTCCAAAGGCGAGTCTCAGACAGCTCCTCCTAATCCAAAGCAGGGCTTTTGGTGCCCAGTAATCCTCACGTGCATGGGTGTTGCAGAGAATGAGAACAATGCCCA